GGCAAAGACATGGAAGTCATTAAATCTGAATTAGAGCTTTGTTTTTGTACACGCAGTTTCCAGCCACCTGATCCAAGAGACGATGCGGGTGCCAGAGCTGCCTGGTCCCCTCTCAGCAGTCACTGGCATAAAAGCACGTCGCATCTGTAAGTGACTGCAAATTTCCCTGGTCCTACACAACTGACAAGACCCAGCGACTCCGTCCTGCCTCTCTGCTCCTACTCAGCCCATCTCCCACCTCCTTGCCTTCTCCAGCATGTCCACCATGAGGTGCTTCTCATATGTTCTTTAATCACCCATCCCAAGGACAGGAAACACCAAAACCCATGAGACCCTACAGTTTGCAGGCCTGCCAGTCTTGCCCCTCCTCCTGAGAGCACCTGGGGGGTGGGATACAGGAGGGGGAGAGTCGGGAGGCCAAGAGAAGAGATGGTGCAGCCAGACCCCCTTCAGTGCTCCATTAAGCAAAGTGCCACATATAGAAGACATTTGATGTTCCATAACCGCTCTATAAATGCTACCATTGAGGCTTGGTGAGGACAGAAGGCTGTTATCAGTGGACAAATATATGAAAAGAGTTCAGGGCTCTGAGCATGAAAGGATATTAACCCAGTGAGATAGTTTCTTGCCTTTCCAAAGATTTTTCAGCCTGGCCCAAAAGTGAAATATTACGTCAAGAGCCAGAAATGGAAGGGTTGGATATCTTGCTGCAGCGGAAGGAGCTGCTCTGTACTCCTGCAATATCAGGGAACTCCAAAGTCCAGCCTGACTTTTTAGGATCTTGTTTCCGTTCCACTTCAACCACCCTGCTGTGACACAGCCTGAGACATCTCTCTGCAAAGGTCCCAGGTGGGAAAAATATCTATGAACCAAGCTTCCAACAGACATTTATTTGTTTGGGTTGAAATCAATGCACATGAAACAGTGTCGCTCCCGTGCGCTGCACACCTTTGCCATCAGTTAAAATACAGGCCAAATAGTATCGTGTGACCAGGACAGCAGCCTGTCTCCTTCTCCATGACCAGCCACACAAACACAGCCAGCAAACACAGAACAAAACAGGCCAGGACCTTGCCCATCTCCCCCCCTGCCATCCTCCCTGCCTGCCCAAGTGCTGCTCAGCAGCTGAAGTCTGGGTCTTGGTGCCTTGTGGGGTGGAGGTAGGGATGAATTAGGGGAGCAAGTTTTGAATCAAGGGTTCTTCCTTGCCTTTGGCTTCCTCTCGGTCCAACCAAACAAACTGGCTCAGTTACTCACCCTTCCCAGAAGACCCTGGGGAAGGCAAGGACAGTGAGGGGGGCCTTCTAGGTCTTGAGCCTTTGGTCTGTGTGGATCAAACCAAACACCAGTATTGCACCATGTGCGTGACTGCAGAGTGACCAAGCAAAGCAGCCACTGGACAATTTCTGGAAGAGCAGGGAGTGAGTGGCCCAATCTGTCCCATCAGCTCCAGGATGGATGCTACCAATAATGGCCTGTCACCCCTGCTTGGACAACAGCCCCAGCTGTGTACTGCACCTCACTCCATTACAGGTTGGCAAAGCAGAGAGAAGCTTTCTGTGACTTAATTTGCCCCTGTGATCTACAGGGTGCTCCTTCCAGCCCACACTGAAGCCTCCCACCAGCAAGGAGAGCACCAGGAACTGGCAGGTGGTGTTTGTAGGATGCTGTAGGTCATTAACAATAAGCAGCACAAAATGTAACCAGGCTTCAGACTGAGACCATTGAAGTCAACTCAGAGGTGACATGAACCGAAGCGGGGTCAAGTTTGCTAGAGATGACCAGGGACCATGTCGGCCCATTCAGGCTTTGCACCCTGCTCTGGGAGTGTGCAGAGGGACCGGTTTAGTTTGTGGACTCTTCTGGCTGCTGGTAAATCCATATGGGAAGGAGATTGCTCAGGAAGGACAAGTGAGTGGAAACCCCCTTGCAAAGTTTAGAGAACAGGTTCCCACACACTGGGTTTTCTGGCAGTGCTGACAAAGAAATGCAGGAGGAACTTGGACCTGCTTATGCCATTGCACTAGGAAGGATCCCACCTGCATTGTGTTTTATAAGGATGAATGTGCTATCAGGTGCAATGGGAAGAGCCAGATGGCTTGTGACCATCTCATTGGCATGGGCATGCCGGACAGTGACCCAGGCAGGAACACTTACAAGGTGTCTCAAAACTCTACAGCGAGATGCAGCTGGACTGAGCTGGAGGAATCAGCATTTTGGCCAGAGGGCAACCAGAGCTCTTGGGCAGCCACCCAAATGGGAGGCCATCCCAGGACACTCAGTAAAGCCATAGCAGCCTACAGAGCAGAAGTGCAGAGTGGGAGATTTGAGACACCTTCACACCCAGCAAGAAGGAGAGCCCCTGTCCTGCCGCAATGGGCATTAGCAGCTCCGCCTGTGCCATCTCAACACAGGTGGATGCTCAGAAGGGACAACAGGAACTGAGACACTGGGTGACCTCAGGGTGCCATGAGTCTTTTGCACAGGACTTTATGTCCAGCTCATGGCGTCAAGCCCAGAGGCGCTGGCTGGGGCACTGGAGGGCAGGACTGAATGCCCTCTTGGCAGTGAGAGTGTCTCTCACCTGCTGTCTCCACCTTCCCCTGCCACTTTTCCAGACTCCTGTTTGGTTTTCATTTCCTTCTGCATGTTGCCCTGTTCTTCTGAATTTTTCTCCTTTTCTCTTTTGCTCTAATTTCCTCCTTTTTCTTGGAGCTGAAAACTGAATCCAGTAATAGTGAGGTGGGGAAAGCAACTCATCTGCCTGTAGTTCAACACACCCGGTCTGTGTGATAACTTCACAAGAATTAGCCCTTCATTCAGCTGGGTCTAGGGACTGCTCTTCACACTTTGCTCAGCTCTACCCAGAGCCATAGGGCACCTTGCAATAAAACCGATGCAAGCACAAGGAAACTCAGACCAGAGACATTCCCCACCAAGAGTCCTCAGGAATCATCCCACAGAGACTCACAAGGTGGTACAAGGCTAAGGATAGACGTCATCTGTGGCCACAGCATGTCTTGGATGGTGGAGCGCAATGTCCTCCAAACATTAGCTCCCAGTGCTTTTTTTATTACTCTGTACAGGTGAAGGACTGCACCGTTCCCCTTTGTCATGGACTCGCTTGCCGCTGCTGTGCACACCTCTTCCAAGCTGAGCTCAGGTGGAATTTGGTGTTTGTTGATGTCATGGAGGAGACGACCGTTGACGTGGCACCAAGGACACATGCCATCATTCAAGCTTGCACCAGCCTGCTCGGGAAGTCTCTTCAGTGGTGGTGCTGCAGTGGGAAGCATGAACAATGACGGGAAGTTGAAACTCTCAGAGGAGAGCAGATTGTGGACTCTGGCTGGAGACCTGGGGAGGAAAGGCAAGAGATAGAAAACCATGGGTTGCAACCATGGGATCCCCTTGGTGCCTCCCTTCTGCAATGGCTAGAGAACCAAACCTGCTTTATAATGCCAATGAGACTAACTCTTGGGTGTCAGGCCACCTGCCACAGTGGAAGTCTCCAGCAATATTAAGGATGAGATGTACCTTCCCACAGAGACTACAACCCGCTGGACCTCCATTACCATCATCTTCCTCTTACACAGTGCTTGTCACACATGCTGTCGGTGGGGACCTAGCACTCAGCTTTGGCCATGCTCATCACCTACTGAGTGAAACCCGGGCATGGAGGAAGATGGGAGCTCAGTGGGTGGGTGTTTTCACCTCCTTGTTGCTGCCCTGTGATGAGCTGTAAGGTCTGGACTCAGATCTGTGGTGCTGGAGCCCAGAATTTCACTTCAACTGTATGAAAGCACACCCTTATAGACATAACTTTATCTCAGATGGGACTTGCTTCACCTGTGTCCTCACCACACTGTCAGGAGTGAGCTCAGCTTGCCAACCAGCACCAGTTCAGCCTTTGCTCCATCCCACGCCAAGCTGTTTAGGCCTTGCTTGACTTGTCTGCACCCCACAGACACCAATTTTGGCAGCATGTGCTGTGGAGCAGTGTCATGCATAGGCATAAGAGTAGGGAGGCAGCTTGAGCCAGGCAGAGCTGGTCCAGTGGGGATCCAACCACCCACCTCCATGAGCCTGGTCACTTCAGCCTCCTCCTGGGATAAGGTGGGCAAGTCCACACCAGGCTGCACTGGCAAGAAGCACCTCTCTATGGATCTGCCACTCCCTGAGACTTCTACAAAGTGACAATGTTTGGAATGGGTTTATGTCCTGAACCACTGGCAAATGGACGTGGATGTGTCTGGTTGCCCCTCGGCAGCCAGAGGATAGTCCTGCACAACTGACATAGCCCGGCCCTTGGTAAACTCTTTTAAAAATAATGGGCACATCACTTTACGGTTGGGCACCTGCGGCTGTCAGCAGATGCCAGTGATTTAACTGCAACCTGCTGAAAAGGAGCAGGCGTGAGGGTCAGCGAGAAGGCACGTGAGGATCCTCAAGGACAGAAAGGCCTGATGGCTTCTTAGGTTTTCAGAGAAGGTGCTATGAGAAGACAAAGGCATTGGTGGTGTAACTCCGTGAGCACCAGGGGTGCAGTGCAGTGGTACATTTGACCGACAACTCCCTCCTGTACGTGCTTACAAGGAGATGCTTTGGTGCCTGGGGTACACTACCTGCAGTGCGCCAGGCCCCGCTCCTCCCTGCCCTCCATCTCTCTTCCCGCTCCACCCAACTCCCTCCAGCCCCTCGTCCTCCTCCCAGCCACAACCACTGCTGCTTCCCTTCCAGACGCTCCCTCAGGACTCGGTGGGGCTCCAGCACTTTTCCCCGATGGCAGCCCCCCAGAGCAGGGCGGCAGCCTGGTGGTCCCTCCCGCCTCACACCTGCAGCACCAGGAGCTGTGCATGTCCCCGGACATCAGCGCCCACCCACCCCACACAGGCACTTGGCCGTTTCAGCACGCCAAGGAAGCCCCTCTCGCCCGGCCCAGCTTCCCGGCACGTGTACACTACCGTGGTCATGTCCTGTCCGGAGGAGTGGGGGCTGGCCTACATGATGGAGCAGGTGAAGCCACAGCACTCCTTGAGCAGGGTGAGGCCCGTTTTGGTCATGTACGGTGCAGAGGTTTGCTGGCCCCTGGAAGTCATTTTCTTCTCTTTGACAGGAGCTACGGAAAGAGGAATCAGTGTCTGCCTGGTGATGAGAGCACAGGCCCATCGCTTCTTAGAGCTCCTTTCAGGGCTAAGATGCCGACCCTCTTCAGACCCACAGCTGGGCATGAGCTCCTGCATCCAGGAGGCACATCACCATGGGTGCTACAGGCACAGGGACCCTGAGCTGGAAATGTCTCCCACTGCACTGGGGAGGTGTTCCTCCAGCAATGATGGAGGCACAGGGAAGAGGGTAGCCGTCAGAGGCCATGAAGAAAGGAGGACTGGATGGATACCACAACTTGTGACCTTAGCTAATGGTGTGATGAAATGTAAGGAGCTGGATGGAAAGGGTCAGATGAAGAACATCAGCCATAAAAGGACACCTACTCGTCCCCATTCTCACAGGACATGCTGGCTGGGAAATGCCAGGAGGGAAATGGAAGCATAACATCCATGCCGATTCGGGATGTTTTCACAATGTGATCTCAAGCACCAGCATCCCCCAGTTGCCGTTTCCCCACACACTCCTCCAGCAACAAATAGCCTCCAGGTAACCTAGCCCCATGCAGAGCAAGGAAATCTTGGGGACAGAGTGCTTAGGAAAGGGGAGAAACTGCCAGGGAGGTTCAATGCAAGGAACAAAACGCATCAACCACCTACTCGCTTTCTGGAGGTAGCTTTTGGAGAGCTTACTTTGCAGGAACTCTGCCATTTCCTTGTCTTCTTCCCTTTCCCTGTGACAAAAAGATTGGTTAGCACTCAGGAAAGGAGCAGCAAAGCATTCAGGACCATCTGGCAAGGCACGATACAGATCAGAGGACAGACTGCACTATCCTCAGTGCAAGGAATAAATTGCACCCAGCTACCTGAGCCTCTCAAACTCCACATCATCCACCAGGAAATCCCGCGTTTCCACCAGCTTGTGTATCTGCTGTACCAGCTCCTCTTCCCTCTGCTTCTCCTCGTTGGACTTCTCGTTCTCTGCAGCACAGGGAACACATTAAACATAGCAACAGATGTCATCCTGCCCATACCAAGGCCAAGCTTGCTCTGCTTCTGTTCCACCCAGGAGCAGATGTGAGAGCAAGTGTAAAAGCCAACCCAAAGTAAGCACCTGGATCCAGATACAGGCTGCTAAATAAGCAACAATCTCATCCCAAACCACCCTGGCTGGGAGGAGACAGGTCTGGTGTCATCAAACTTTGAATTTTTAGCTTCTCGCTAGAATTTTCATGGGGCTGAGCACTGCAAGATGCAACTGTGAGCTTTGCAGAGCAGAGGAAGGGCCCCTCAACAAGGTGGCCTCTCTGGTGGAAGATGACCATGGTTTGCCTGGGATCTTCACCCTGCACCGCTGTAGAGGCTGGGTACCACATCTCAACAAGCTCAAAAATGTAAGACTTGGATGTGATCCTTCAGCTAGGATGTGCTTAACCCGCATTTCCCAGCACACCCAACCAGTCTAAGCTTGGCTCTGAGCTGGGTAGGGGTCCAGAGACCTCTGAGCCAGGTCCTCCATGTGGCTGAGAAACCAACGTGCATAGGGAATTATCAACAATGCCCAGATGCCTTGGGAACACCTCACACCACCATTTATCCCATACATACAGAGATATGAAAACATTATGATCCACTGGTTTTTGTAGCCTTATTCCCTTGCTGAACACGGTCCCTGTGATCTCATCCTCTACATCTGACCTTTCAAACCACTGTCAGCCCCATTCCCACCCTAGCGACAAGGATGACCACAAGTGTCTGCCAGGCTATTTTGAATGTGTTACCCTTGTCACCTGAACCCCCAGACTGATCTACTCTGAGCACAGTGGGACCCACTTGTGGCACATTATCTTTGGGCAGTGAGTTAGTGAAGATCTGAAAATTCTCACATCACTATGAAGACATGTCTTATATAAATTGGTACATAATGGTAAGTGGGATACGTGAAGATGATAGAGATAGGGCTAAGGAGTGTTAAATATAAATGCAGAGCTACCTTAGGTGGAAACTATGACTGTCTGTGCTCCAGCTATTTAATACCATTTCTGAATTCAGCAGCAAGCTCCAAAATCAATCCAGCACAGGATGGATCAATCTCCAGTCTTCCTTCAGCTAAATAAAAATGCAGCGAAATTCACAGTATGGAACAAACCCTGTAGGCCAGGTCTCAGCAGTTACCTAAACTATGTAGTTTAAAGTCTGCTATATATTGATCGGAGGTGCTGCTGCAGGGCTCTGAGTAGGAGGAACTTCTCATAATCATCATGTTGTTAGAAACATCCCCAGCAAACAAAGGTTTCTCCTACAATTGTGGTCTTGTACAGGGAGTGAGCTCAAGCTTCCTGGCAAAGAAAGCTGATCTGGACTAAGGTCTGGACCACAGCTGCTGGTCTTCTACCATGAAGAGTTAATGCAAAGTCGCCTGGCCGTGGGCACTGTCTCTGTGCGGCAGCTCCCACCTGCCTGGTGGGAATAGGAGCACTTTACAGTGTCATTTGGATGCCATACAAATCGAAAACATCAGGCTGTACACAAACGTACCAGCTATTTGGAGTTAATTAACAATCTGCATTCCTGAGTTAGAGCATGTCAGAGTTAACATACCCGCTGTATAAACGCTGCACCTTTTTTTCCGACTTGCTAATGTCAGAGACTATCACGATCACAGTATCTCTCTGAATTATTACAGGCACCTTGGTCTGGTGAGATTTCAAGCCACAGGTCTAGCCGAGCTCTGAGTAAGCACTGACGTGTTTGAATCTTTATCTGAACCAAAGTTCAACGTCCATTTTTACGAATGATCTGCTGCTATAGTCTCACAAGACCAAAGATTTGCAGGATTTTTCCAGCACAGTCTGATTTGAGCCAAGTTATAAAAAGAGACAAAAAGAGCATCCCTGATGCCTGCAGCATTTCTGCTCTCAGCTGAATCTGGGAGTGCTGAAAAGGCTAGAAATGAAAGACCAAAGCAGCTGAAGGAAAGCCAGCCACATTTCTCAAGCTTCAGAAAAGGCCAAGATTATCTCTGGTCCTGAGCCATCGTTTAGGTCAAGTCTTGTTTTATGAACTAGAAGGTGTTTGAATTAAAAACCCACATGAGATTCAGGTCTATGTTTCGCAAGCAGCTCCCATTTTTATGGCAGAATCCTCCCTCCGCCATCTGACCCTCCCTCTGGATGCAGCCAGGTTGTATTGAACTGACCAAGACCTGCATATTACGTAGCAGTTGGGCTCTAACTGCGTGCTGACGATTCACAAGCACACACAGCATAGCAAAACTGTGGCATTAGAAAAGGTCAAGGTTTCTTGCCACCCTTGGCTTTGAGATAACCTTGGGTACAGAACCGATGAGCTGAGCTGCTGCTCTGGGAAACAGATGTGCAGAGCTGGTCCCTTGTCTGCGTCCAGGCATCGTCCCCTGCTACACACTCATTGGTCTCAGTGGGTGCAGCATCTTCAGAGAGATACTTGTGGTGGTCCAGATCTTAATGCTTGGATGGGTACAAATAAACAGGTATATGTCTCCCATCTGGTTCTGAAAACACACATAAAGTCCTTACTGGGGGCTGAATGAAGATGTGCTGGGAGGAGGCATAGCCTTATGAACAGCGGTGGACACAGCTTGTGGGGAAGCCTTTCTTGCTCATTCTCATTCAAACCCTGAGCTGTTTGGTATGTGCTTTCATTTGAATATTTTGGCTGAGGGGGATCCTTTAGTGAACCAAGATTTGGACTTTCCTGGGCTGTGAAGAGTCAAGGGTGGCTCTGGCTGCGACAGCGACATGGAGAGTCACTGGTCATGGTAAGGGGGGGACAAAAGCAGTGTTTCCTCTCAGCTGAAGTTTTCACATATGTTGCCCTGGACTGTTTGCCTCCTTTCAACATCCTGAATGATGAATTCACCTAAATCAGGGACATCACTGACCCCCTTTGCCATGACATTCCCCTAGCACTCATCCTACCCTGGCTGCAACCAGGAATACTTCCCTGGCAGCTGCTGCCATCTGCCCCATCACTGACACACATTTCTGACACAGCCACAGCAAGAATTCATTGCTTTTCACGTACTTGAGGCCTTTAGAGGCATCTCCCCTCCCGCTACCTTCAAAGGGGCCCCTTCATGGTGTGGTCTGACAATGTCTGCTGCTTGTCCTCTCAACTCATTTGGGGATCCTCCTTGGTGTAGGTGGCAGGTCCCACTGTGTCGGCATTCATTGCCACCTCACTCAACTCCTGTCCTCCTCCTATACCAGACCCATGCTCTTCCTCAAAGGACTCATGTTTTTTCTCCTTTTCTGTCTCCTCTGCCCTTCAGCCCGAGCCTGGACAAGGACTCCCTGGTGGTACTGCAAGCAGCAAAGCTCTCAAGAAAGATCTTAGGTCAGACCCAAGGAGCCACATTTCTCGATGCTCATGCACTGCCTGCAACAGCAGTGTCTCTGGGAGCATCCCGGGGTGGGAGCTGTTCAAGAGCTTCTTGTATTTCATGGAAACCTTTCTGCTGATTGCAGCGGCAGGGTGCAGCTCTCTGAAGCTTTACAAAGCCTTACCTGGAAGGGCTATGAGTTTTTGAAGCTCTTTTTTCAGCCGGCTGATTTCTTTACAAAGCTGAATGTCATCCATCCTGCAGAGACACAAATGAAACCACTGAGGGAAAGACTGGGAGAGGAAATCTTCAAAACCTCCGGAGCAACACCCAACCAACGCTGGAAGGCAATGCACTCAGTGCCCGCGGTGGGGAGCACAGATTTACTTGCCTTCCCACAGGAAACAGGAGCCCACTTCATCTCAGAGCTTTTGTTGGAGCTACATGGATTGTGTCACTGGTTGTTGGCAAAGAAAAAGTTTCATCGCTCTAATGACAGTGAAGCCTTATTAAAACCTGGCACATCCACCACGCAATAGCAGCTGTGTTTTTCCTCCTCCCAAAAAATAATCCCCAAACAACAACATACAAAACCAAATGGAAGCTGCTGCCATATAAAAAGATCTGACATTTTTATACTGCCTTTCTGCAGAATTAAAAAAAGGTAGAGAAATGAAACACAACAGAGAGGGGAAATGTGGAAACTTTGCAGGTGTCCGCTGAGAAACAAGGTCATTTCAACGGGAGAAAAGGAGCCTGCTGAAGCCGCAGGCAATGAAATCATCTCTGGTTCAAACCACACGACAGCAGCAAGACACCGATCCGGATGGGCTCAACTCAAATGTCAGCGGCAGCTGCTGATGGAGCGAACGGGGGATGTGCGTCCCTGTCCGTGCTGGAGGCAGTTTGATGATGTCTCGGAAGCACCACAGACACTCAGCCCCCTCCATGGGTGTACCAGCTCAAGTGCTGCTCGCTGCTCATTAGGGCTGGCAGAAAAGACTTAACCCAATTTATTTATTGATTTATTTTAAAAAACCGCATGCCTATGCCCTCGCAAAAGCCCAGCTTGGACAAGTCCAAGGAATGATGGTGTCTGGCCATGATGAGCATCAGTGCTTCAGTTTGAAGAGCTTTATGCACTCACCCATGGTGAGGGAAACCCCAAGAGCAGGCAGCGCTCATGGCTGAGACCTCTGTCCACCACGAACCAAGCCATCCTTGAGGATCTCCCCTGGGTAGGTGACACCACAGAAGATGAGACAAGTCACAGCTCCAATAACCCCCAGAGCTGCCTCTGGTCTGCCTGCTGTGCTCCCCACCTCCCGGCCTCTCTCATGCCAGCAGCTTCTGGCTTTAGAGACTTCCTTGCTTTGCTCTTTACGGTCCTTTCCTCAAAGTCCTTCTGTTTTCTGCCAGCAACTCATACACACAGCGAGCAGTGACCCAAGGGCTGTCCAGCCCCATCTGCCCTTCCAGCAGTCTCCAAGGTTGCATCAGCCTCGGGCCAACCTTGACCAGCCACATCTCCAACCAAAGCATGACGAGACCAACCCATCTGACACTTTTGCTCCTGCTCTGAGCCTTCCCTGGGTTCCTCACGCATTATCCCTCACTGGGAAGATTAGGAAAAGCCAATGCTGCTCTGACGTGGCATCCCGAGCCTCGGCACAGTTCAGCCACCCAGCAGCCAGTGAAGCACCATTTCCTTGGCATTAAGGTACCCGGGAACTGAAGTCCCTGATCAGGGATTTTGGCTGTTGGCTCATTTGAAAAGAGTTTTTTAAAGCCCCTGCACCCTGTGGCAAGGCATTGAATCTCCTGATCAGGGTTGGACTGTTGAGCTGGGATTTGGGATGCTTCTCTTCTTTCTCCAGGTTTATCCTGGCGTGGCTGAGCCACTCTGGCCAGACCATCTGGCATCTCCCCACCTCTTGTCTGGCCTGAAGCTAAAAGAAAGTGTGTCCATCCAAAATCCAGCTCCCAGTTTTCAAGGTGTAACAGGCTCCCATGCCCCGAGGACCAGAAATTGCTCATATCCATGAAGCAACCCCTTCATTGACACATCAGTCCTCATGCTCTTAATACGTGTCTTCCAGGAGCTTGGAGCCAGCAAGGGCACCAGAAGCGCCATGGCAGAGGGCCTGGGGTCAGGCAGCAAATTCAAACGGTGCTAAGCAGCTCCACTAGCAGAAGAGGGGGTTCCAATCATCACCCTGAGATAGATGTGGACACTCTGACTAGAAGCATTTCCTTATGACAGTGCAAGTAATCCACTGATATCTCAGGAACACCTGTATCTAAGGGCTCCCTAGACCTTCGAGACTTGTGAGTGCAGCCCTGGATGTTTTAGACAACAGACATGGGCACTGAACCATGAGTCTGTGCTGGGAAAATATCTGGTGGCACAAACCTCTCAGCTGGAGACCAGACGTGTCCATACAAGATTTGGCCCTGCACTGCCCTGTGCACGGTGCCTTGCCTACCTGAGGTGGGATGGGAAGCATTTGCCCCCATTAAACATCATGTTCAGTAATCGGTTTCATGAAGAAGCTGGTAAGCACCAACACCACAGGGCACAGTGGTCGACCTGTCTGGACTGAGCCTCTAAGAGGAGCAGCATATCCAAATGTTGACTACAAGGAATCAGATGACCCATTTTTCACATAGACAGAGGCACCATACATCCTCCTAAGCCCTACCAAGCACCCAGCATCTTAGCACAAGCTTCCCAAGGTCATCCAAGCCTTCGATGCAGAAGGACTCCATGGATGCTTTGTAGGGCACATGGGAAATCGTCCAACCTGGATGTGCACAGCTGAGATTTCTAGCAAGCTCCATGGCCATGAGTGACGAGAAACCCTAATACACAATCTGTGTCTACAGATAATACATGATTGACTCATGAGCTGGTGCCACCTTGAACAGATGTGCCTTTGAAGCGTGCGTTACTAAAAGCCCTGTCTGCATCTTCAATAATCCTGCTGGCCCTTCCACTGAGTCATGCCGTCCACCCCTTCTGGGATGAGTCATATTTGCTGGAGCTACTTAAAGATGCGGCTTTGTCAGCTGAGCTGAGGACACCAGCAATACTAATTAGGGAAAATAAACAGACTGATGAAGAGGGACCCTTGTGAGATATTGCTGTAGGAGAAGAACATCCCAGGCGGGGGAGAAGACTTCCTCTCGGCTCTGTCAGATTTTTGCTTCATTTGTTTGCATACTGCACTGAGCAGGTCCACCGATGCCAATGTCTGGGAGCTGCACGTGGAGAACAGGGAGGTCTTATTGCCTGCTCATAGTCCTATGGTGGCTGAGCCCTGAGTTTGTACAAAGAGCACCAGCGGGCAGGTCTGCACATGGGCAACAGGCTGATGACTAGTGATACACTTATTAAAATTAAAATAAACAGTCAAATGATAACTGAAATATTATTAAAATTAATTGGAATTTAATTCCGTAAAAACTGATAATGAGAATAACAAGTGGGCAATAATAAAAATTCCCATTTGAATAAAACTTGGGAGAGATTGCAAAGACAAACAGCCAGAAGGCTGCTGCTGAGGCTGAGATTACTGCTACCACTGGTGATAAAACTTATTGCAGCATCAGCTGTAGCCGTGCTACCCCTGTCGGGCCCCAGGGACCAAATCAGAGCACTGAGAGGGTGAGGTGCAGAGCTGAATCTCCCGCAGGAGTATCAGACCTTTCTTTTTGCCCTATAAAAGGAGAAATATTGGGAGCTTCATTGTTTTCCGTAGCACAGATGTCTCAGAAATGTTGGAACATTTTAGTTTGACATTTCCAACAAGAAGAAAACACCGATCGCTATCGACTGACCAGGCAGGTCACTCCTCCGTTTGGCAGCACATCAGTGGAGATGTCCATCGCCCTGAGCCCCACAATCCAACCGATCATGAATATTACATTTTTTTTCCCCCATTGGGAAAAAAGCCCCTTTCAGCCCCAGGTCCCCAACCTGTTTAGCCCTGTCCTGCCGAACCCCAGTCTGGGAATCCCTCTTCTCCAGCAGCGATGCTCAGGGAAGCCCTTGGCTTTCCCTGCCTTGCAGAGCCGTGCTCCTCCCCGCTGCTGTGCTCCGCAGAGCCGATGCTCAAGTTCCCCACAGCGCTTCCAGACATGTAATCCTGGTGTTTCCAAACTTCCAAGTGATCACTTTTGCATCTGTACCCACCCCGGTATGTGGCTTCTGTAGGTGATTTCCTTTTGTTTTCCAAGTGTAAGCCAAGGAAGAAAACAAATAAAGGGATAAGAGAAAGCAAAGGATGTGAGTTTTGACAGCACCTGTGAGACTTAGGTACCGGTTGCCATGGAAAGCATTTAAGAACTACACTTTTTATGATTTCCAAAAATCCCTTTCAACAATATATTCAGAGCGATCTGTGCTTCAAAGAGGTCATCACTCCAAATCTGAGCCTCTAAACCACAGTCCAGCTCACAGCTTCCCCAGACAGCAGATTTACACAGGCATTTCCAGGCTTTGGTGATCCCTGTAGTGCCGGTACCAGTGGGGATCCAGACACGCTAAAAAAGCAGCATATCAAATGCTGCAGCCCAGTAAATATGATTTTTGCCATTACCAGTAAAAGATCCCAGGCTTTGTGTTGACTTGACAGGATGGGATCTCAGGACTGGGCTGACTACAGCAATTTAGTGGTATTAAAAAGCTTAATCAACCCAGATTAGGAATGCTACTCAGCCCTTTTCCTCCCAGATATACCCAGGGAAAATGTTCTTTATCACTTGAGTGATAGTACCACTGAAACACAGTGACTATTTGATTGCCTTAAATGTGAAAGGCCTCCAGATTTTCACTCAAAAACTGCTTTGATTACAGAAATGGACCCTGGAGAAGATCCTTCCCTCTGCATCTGGCTGCAAAGGCTGTGCTGGGAATGGAGAGCAGGATGCAGTGCGGAGACGGGACCGGGCACCGATGCTGGTCCAGCCCCGATGTGTCCTGATGTCCCCCGGCAGCCAGGGGATGGGTGAGCAAAGGAGGAGCTGGGAGGATGCACAATACTGCAACGCGGAGAGAGTAAACTGTGGTCGTGTGGCTGTTCAAGAGCCGGAGATCTGTGTGCTGGGGCAAAGCGCTATCTCCAGAGAGCAGCAATGAGCCACCAAACCTCAGGTCCTTTCCCAAGGCCAGCCCAAGAGCCATGCACTGAGGAAAAGTAAAGAGTATGGACCCACTGGAAAGTCGGGGTGCTTGTGGTCGAATGTGGAAACATTTTAGTGTAGTTAAACCTGTGCCATAAACTCTGTTTGCACAGCTCAAATCATCACAGCATCAGTGGCAGCTTTGTAACAGGGACCCGTTAAAACCCCTTCCGAGAGCAAGGCCAGAGCAGTGGGAGAGGCTGCGCTTCCAGGTGGAAAACGAGGTGGAAAGCGGCCTCAGCTCTGCTCATCCCCAGGGAAGATCCGTGTTTGATCGGGCAGGCAGAAAACGCTGGGGTGACCCTGGGAAGGGGGGACAGCGCGGGAGGAGGCAGGTACTCACATGTACCGCAGCTCTGACTCCCTCCTCACCAGGATCTCCCTGATCCTCTCGATTTTGAAGAGCTCCCCTTCGATGTCATCGATGGTGGTGGTCGAGTCGGCCATGGAAATAATCTCGTCCTCTGCAAATGAAACGGGAGCCACATTAGCCAGCAGGAGATGTTAAACACGTGGTGAGGACAACAGGGACCACAGGGCTGTCACGGGGACCGCTCCTGCAAACACCAGACCAGCATAACCACTAAGCACGTGCAGTTTTAAACTCGTTTTCAGGCTTCTTGCTACCCTGCTGGGTGCTGCAACAGGAGACAGTCACTGTGGAAAGTCACTGACATATGCAAGGGCATTGAGCTGCCGGCGACCGTGTTTTGCCTTTATTTGTGCTTTGTGTGAGGCTGGGCACTGGAACAGGTCTGCTCCTTGCTGCCTAGCATCAAAGCCGGTTCAGCTTGCTGAGCGCAACTCCAAACACGCATGCAATATGCATGAAGTGTCTGCATGAAAGAAGACCTCGGAGGCCAGCAGGCCACCTCATCTGAGCTTGCAGCTCTCTAAGCCTTAGAAACAAGCATCATTTTGCCTGCTTGTGCTGGCTTTGCAGCACACCCTGCTCACACCAATGTTGTGGTGGGCTCTGCACTGCTAAGAAAGCCCCAAATTTCTGGGAGTCTTCCCCTCTGCTGAACAGCAGGAGGCCAAGGGAGCTAAAAACTTCTGGACGGAAGGACAGGAATCTCTCTCTCTTTTTCCAGAACTACATAAGCCTCAGGCATCTCCAGTACATGTACAGACACCCAGAGAATCAGAGAGTCACAGAATCATAGAATCATTAAGGTTGGAAAAGACCTCTAAGATCATCGAGTCCAACCATCAACTCAACACCACCATGCTCACTAAACCATGTCCCTAAGCGCCTCATCTACACGTCTTTTAAATACTTCCAGGGATGGTGACTCCACCACTTCCCTGGGCAGCCTGTTCCAAGGCTTGAGACATGAGCCTGTCCTCCAGTAAGTGCCAGGACCAAACGCTGGACCCATAAAGCACAGAGGGGCCTCCTAAGGAGTTGTGGACGTGAAGTTCCAATAGCTGGTTCCTTTGCATCACAGGCTGGATGAAGATCCCCCCATCCTTCCCAACTCACCGGGGGAAAAAGCCCCAGTGCCTGCGAGCCTGCATGTCCCACAGCAGCTCCCAGCCCGTTTTATGTGGATAGCTGAGGTTTTGCTCCCAGGCCAGCTCCCACCCCCCAGCCCGATCTGGCTCTCAGAGACACATCACTGAGCTTGTTATCAGTGACATGCAGCAGCACATTTATCACACACGGGCTAATCTGGCTCTCTCGTGATGTGCATACAGCCCAGGCTGGGGAGGGAGGGCTCAGCAGCTGCAGCAAAGCCAGGCTATGAGAAAACATTAAAAATCACAAACATCAGGGACAAATTCTGCTTCCTTTGAATCTCCACAGGACACATCTCCCCACTGAGACTTTGCCTTCCTGCAGCCCTTGGATTTTCCCCGTGCAGGGAGAAGGGAAAGCACAGCCAAGGAGCACCAGCTCTGGGAACAGGATTTTCTGGGCAGCTGAGATCTGGGAAGTGGGGATGTAAGAAATGGAGCGTGTGACTTGGGGATCCCAAACGGGACCCAGGCCAGTGCTGAGTGTTACAGGTCAGGAAGGCATTAAGGCACAAGGCAAAACACTCTGCAGTCACTGGTGCTCTACCCATCACGTAAAACTGCTTGAGAAATCATTCTCAGAGTGGGGCAAGTTTCTGAGGCTGCTGGCAGAGAAGGTTTAATAGTGGAAATACTATAGTGGTTTGGGTTAGCGTGACTGGTTTGAAGAATAGTTTTCCGCTGTTTCTGGCTTAGAAACTAATGAGGACTACTTGGAGATTATCTCCCTCTTCCCCTAGCCACAAAGGCCACATTCAGCCAATGCCAGCCTGCTGAATCCTCGACCATTCCCCATTCTAAGCTGTCAGGATGCTCTCAGGAACCTGCTCAGGACAGACCAACAAATAGATGGGTTGGACAAGGTGTGGGGTTGGATGGCGCTGCCCTCCATCAGCTCTTGCTCAATACCTCTGCTGCAAATTTGCACAGAAACCCTCCCTTAGCCTTGTTTCTACGGGCCTGAAGGGGGTTGCTAGGGGACTGGACTGTGGTTGCTACAGGACCAGGATGCGGTTGCTAGGGGACCGCACTGCAGTTGCTAGGGGACCAGGATGCTGAGGTCCCTCATCCCAAGCATCCTGTTGCTCTGCCAACCCAGAGCTCCTCTGGCCCGGGATATTTTGCTGCACCCGTACCCAGCACTGCCGAGCAGCTGGGGCCATGCGCCGGGGACAGGCAGGGTCTCCCTGCAGATGACGGCGGGCACGCAGGTAACGACACACGTGAAGGTGCAGATGGTACAGCCGGCGTCTGCTTATAGGCAGCCACTCCCTGGGGTTCGGCTGTACTTCAGTGAAGCTCTAGACCTGTCAGGAAAAAGCTGCATTGCTCTAAATGTTGCTGCTGTGACCAGGCTAAAATGACAAGGCTGATTATTTTACAGATGCTCCAATAAACAAAGCTTTCATTAGCCAAGGACAAATCTAATCACTCCTAGGAGCACAGGGGTGGGTCTGGGGGAGGGGGACTGTCACTTCTGGCCTGGGTGGGTGGGTGAATAGCCCAGAATATCTTTGATCACTGGTGGCAGAAGTATTTGGCTGAGGTTATCAGCCAGCTGTTCCCCAGTGGGTGAGCACAAGGGCTTGAAACAGGTGTCAGCATCATTTCTTCTCCCTTCTCATCCCAGAACCTCATTAGCGGAAGCCAGCCCAGATGGGAGATGTGAATCCTCGCCTGTGTGCATGACGGGAGGAGGTTGCAATGCTGGGTTGCTCGCCCCCATCTGCGGCAGGAGGCTGGGATGTGATTTCAATCTGTAGGCAGCTGCCCACAAGAGTGAGAAAGCTCCTGGCTCGACTGTGGGTGGGTTCCCATCAGAGACAGCATGGCTGGGACCACCCTGCTCAGAAGGAGTTGCCCTCACACTCCCCTTCTCCCTGGTCACCTTTCTGTAGGACACCTCCCAGCAGCCTCCCACTGCAGGTCAGGAGCATCCTGTGAAATGGGGACAGCAGACAGGTCTACACCATGCAGCAGAGCAATGGTTGCAGGACTCGAGCTGGAAGCTCCTCAGCCCTTGGCTGTGCCTTCAGGGTGGTGTGGTTGGGGTCATGGCACTCTGCGTCCCTCAGGCAAGACGTGTCCTCAGGCACGCCAGGGGAACTGCTCATCAAAACAGTAAGTCCTTGACAAGAAGCTCTAAGAGGAGAGTCATGTGCCTGGAGCTGCTTAATTCAGGGCAGAAGCAGAGGAAGGGCAGTTCCAGGCGAGTGCTCCTGCAAAATGAAGCCCATGAACCCTGGGGGGGGGGGAGCACCTGGACAAGGGGACACAGAGCTACACCTCTGCACGAAAACCATCCACTAAACCTCACAAGAAACCAGTGAATCCATACAGGTGACTAATGTGCAGCTGATAGGATGGTAAGATGAACCTGCTGATGGAGACTCCTTCCATCTGCCAGCGTCTGCTCAGGACTAAGAACTGAACATCTGAGAGAGGGCAGGGGCGGATGAGGAGAGGCTGAGAGAAGCAGGTTTGTTCAGCCCAAAGAAGAGAAGGTGAAGCGGGATCTCATGGCTGTACTCACCTACCTAATGGGAGGATGCAGAGAAGACGGAGCCAGACTCCTTTCAGAGGTGCACAAAGATGAGACAAGAGGAGATGGGCACAGTTGAAACATGTGAAATCCCAGTGAGGAAGATGTTTCTCTTCAGGTTGTTCAGACACCAGAACACAGAGCAGATAGGTTGTGGGTTCTCCATCCTTGGTCCAAAATACCTCCTGGACAAGGCTGTGAGCAACCTGATTTAACTACTAAGCCTGTTTTGAGCAGAGGGTTGGACTCAATGTCTCTGGAGGTCCCTCTCGATCCAAATTCCTCTCATGTAATGAGATCAGTCTGTGACGACCGATTGGGATGCGCATGGATCTTCCCTGCTAGCTCAGGAGATCCTTTCTCCAGGCAGATATGGGGTGATGCTGAGTTCCCGAACTCCAGCAGCTACACGGGCCAGATCACAGCTTTCCTGAGGTGGTGGTGAGACCAAAGGGCACCCATGAACCTGTGTGGTGGCAGCGACACCGTACAGCAGTCACAAATGGCGAGTACAGACACTTGGACCTCACGAGGGATTAAAACCTGGCACGTCCTGCAAGCAGACAGCTGGGCAAAAGATCTCACTGGAGATGGTTTTGCCAAAGCTGAGAATGTGTTTCTTACACTCCGCCTAAGTGCCTGGCACCAGCGAGGGCCTAAGGCAGGGATGTTTATTAAAACTGTGATCGAGTTCCCAGTCTTGAGTGTCCCTTCAGGGATGGAGAGGGATGACGCCCATGGGCGGCCACGCTGCCCACGGGACCCTTTGCTCCCACAGCTGCACACACGACAGCGGAGCCAGACACAGAAATCAACCCCGCGCTGCCCGAGCAAAAGGACCCCAGACTGGCACCATTTCAACCCAGCGAACCAAGGAAGGGGAGAAAGCTTCGATTTAAATTTGGAGACGCTCTAATCATCACACATGGCCCAGGGGAAGCAAGTATTGTTAATGAGGAGTATAATAGCCAGAGACTTCCACTCCATATGGCTTTGGTGAAAACATTTAGACAGTCAGCAGCAAGCCTGAGATGAGTCACAGCAGCAACCAGCGCAGGGTTGAGTTTCAAGCGATTTACTTAATGATTATAGTTGGGCGATTGATTGACAGCCCCCTGGGGAGGGCATCAGAGCTCTTTACTTGGGCTCCATCCCAAGAGGCCTTTAACTCAGCCATGTGCTTTTCTCTGCCATGGAAAGCAGCACGAGCATGGGGCATTCAGCCCATCTTAATCAGCTCTTGCTCCACAAGCTCAATAACGAGAGCGATGGTAACCCACTGCCCGTCTCTGGGGCAGCCTTGTCAGAGGCGGTGAGGTCCCCACCACCCACACTGCCTGGCAGGAGGGACACGAGCCTCCAGGACTGCCAACGCACGGCTGAGCACGCTGGTCCCAGAGG